CACGGCTACTTCCTGTTGCTAGGCATGGGCACGGCAGAAGGCTAACATAAGGTGTTTAGACCGATACTTTGAGCTGCTCAAGGATGCGAAGGTCAAGGGATACCTTTTTGCGCAACAGAACTACATCGACGAGCCGTACAGGAAGCAGTAGAGCCCTTTGCATGTATCGGCCAATCTTCGCAGACAAGGACCAGCTAGATCGAAAGCACACAGAGATGGGAGACGAGGACAACGCTATGCGAATGACAACCTTTGGCGTGTATGCGAGGCTCGACCAGCAGACGGGGAAATGTCTGGTTTCTTCCACAATGGCTAATCTGTACATATCAGCCGGAAAAAGGAGGACAAGCAGGCACGGCTCGACCTCAGCCCACAATTTAATGAGTACCCAACATGACTCTCATGGTGTCGTCACATGGTTCATTCCAGCGTCTCTGAGCATCTGATGCATTGGTTGCAAGGCCCTTGAGATGATGCGGCCAAGGCTGGCACCCTTGACCCCACCACAGCTCCGTACCTGCATCAACCGCTACCACCACCCTCCAAGATGCCATTTCCTTTTGTCCTACCAACAACTTCCAGCATCTCCTTCACTGATTACTTCAACAGCGGCACACATCCCTCCTTGCCGAATTGCGCGACAACTGCGCGAGGCGTGGTCCGCGACGTGCTCAAGCGGCACAAGCGCATCCCGCCGTCGGCGCAAGCCTCGAACCTCTCGACCGTGCAATCTTCTCTGAATGAGTATATACCATACCTGTTCGCGCTAGATGCCGGCCTTAGCGGGACGAGTTGCGCTGGCGAAGAGATCGACCTCGTGCTGGTCAAAGAGTTGGAAGTGGAATGGCGCTCCACTCTGGGCTCCTCGATACCCGGGCGCGAGCCAACAAGGGTGAAGCTAAAGAGCCTAGAAAGCGAATTATGCTTCACACTGTCGTCTCTTGCATACGTCTATAGCCTGCAGGCTCGAGCGCAGCTGCACACACTGTACAATGTGACCCTCCCGTCACCTGAACAACGCGCAACAGCTATTGGCAACGCAATGAAGCACTTCCTCGACGCCAACTCGATACATACATACTTGGTCAACCGTGCAGGCCAATGGAACAGTCAGCCCGGCGCTGTAGACATCTCGGCGTCCACGATGGGTGCATTGGCTGCGCTCACCATGGCTGAAGCAACACTCATCACAGTGCTGAAAGACGACCCATACCCAACTGTAGTTCTCGAAGATAGAAACAAGCAGAACAAAGACTGGATGTTCAAAGGCGTAGAAATACCCAAAGTCCGCGCGCATCTGTTTGCGCGTTTGTGCCTGGCATCTTCTGAGCACGCAGCAAAAGCGCAGGCTATGCTCGGTCGCTCCTCCAAGATCAACGACGACTTACTCAAGTACGTCGACGATTTGCGACGGACAGCAAAAGGCAAGGCGTGCCGCTTCTTAGCATGCGATGCCGAGACTGGTGGCAAGACCGGCGAAGGCATCGCATGGCTTCGCGGCGCAAAGAAGGAGCTTGGTTTTGCCTCTCTTGCGGCAGACGAAGAGAAGAAGTCCTCTGGCTTCTCCAAGCTCAAGAAAGAGTGGCAGGAGAAGCGAGAGGACCGCAAGATTGAGAAAGGCGTGGACTGGGGGACTGATGCGGGCAAGTTTGAAGAAGGCCGCATCATCGATATGCTGCTGAAGAAGTGGGAGAAGATGAACGATACGGTGAGTCTTGGACATTATCTTCCTCTCTTCTCCATCCGCTCACACGTTTAGGTTGGTGTTCAACTCGTTCCGCCCTCAGAGCCGCTGTTGGCTAGCATGCCTTCTGGCAGAGAGTATCACACCACGAAGATGTTTGTGGTGCCGGCGCTCGATGAAGATGCGCTTGTTCGCATGAGGGCGCCGCCAGATCCAAGCGATACCTTCAATGGCGATGAAGATGATAGTGCGGATGAGGACGAGAGGAGTCCGCCTGCTGGAGCGTTTCCAGGGACGAAGTCGGACTATGCGACGGGTTCGAGTTACTACTGAAGCCTTCTTTGTATCAAGATGTGAGGGGGGGGGGGGCGGCATCGTTTCCATTATTGGATACTTCATCCAGTCAATGCTATCTTGATCGAGTCAGTACAGGAGGCTGGATACCTGGCTTCTATCATGTTAGCTAACCCGCGCTGTCACCAATCTACAGCTTATGCCTGCCGCTCGCCGTTATCCTGCACAACATAGCACGCGCCAACGGCATGCCCCTTGTAAACAAGCACTTGCCCGTTGAAGCATGTCCAGCCGATGAAGATCTCCCCAGGACGCGAATCCCAGCTATCAGACATCGGAACATTTCCGTCCCAATAATGCAATCGAATCCCTCTATCCCAAGCTGCAAGCGTTGTCAAGTTCACCATACACATGCAAGCCGTGACATTTCAAGTTTAGGCTGCTTACGGTGGCGCTCACCACAAGTCGCACGTCTGGTGGGTAGAGCCAGTGGGAACAGCATCGCACCCAGCCGCGGCCCGCGATCTCCCAATCCTGAATCCACCCACCATCCGCTGCCCAGGGCTAGGCGAACCACGACTGATAACCAAATACGCCGCACCGCCCCATCGTCATTCGCTGCAATCCAAGCCTATCGCGCGGGCCCTCGCGCGCTCGCGTGTACTCCCCCGCTCCTGATAACTCGAGCCCTGGAGGCGCGCAAATAGTCATATAGATAGACCTTGTCAGGCTGCGCTGCGCTGCGCGTTCTTGGTTGACGTGCGACTTGACAGCTGGACCCTTGACTTTTGATTATTTCCCCCCGTGCGATTCGTTTCATCCCAAGTCCCGAGTCCCTTTCACCGTCCCACTTACGCGCTGCGAAGATGGCGCATGCGCAGCGGAACCGCTCCATCGGCGAGGAACCGGTGACGTCAGTCCTGCCCGACGGCGACGTGCCGTACGATTCGGGCCATGCGTTTTCCGCGGACGAAGAGGTGCTCGCGGCGCTGGGCTACAAGAGCGAGTTCAAGCGTGAATTTTCGCTGTTCACGACCTTTTGCGTGAGTTTTGCGGTGCTGGGCTTGCTGCCGAGTTTTGCGAGTACGCTGTACTATGGCATGGGGTATGCGGGGACGGCGGGCATGACTTGGGGGTGGATTGTGGCCATGTTGGGGATCCAGTGTGTTGCGATGAGTATGGCGGAGCTGTGTAGCTCGATGCCGACGAGCGGTGGGCTGTATTATGCTGCGGCTGTTTTGGCGCCGCCCGGGTGGGGACCGTTTGCGGCGTGGATTACGGGCTGGAGCAATTGGTGTGCGCAGGTTACGGCTGCGCCGTCTGGTGAGTACATGTTGAATATGGAAGAGATTACGTGGATTGACATTTGTTCAGTCAATTATGGCATCTCAGCTATGATTCTCGCAGCGGCATCCATCAACAACCCAAACTATATCCCGCAGGACTATCAAGTCTTTCTCCTGACAGTCTTCATCATGATCCTCCACGCGATCTTGAGCTCCATGCCTACAAAGTGGCTCGCACAGTTCAACAGCGCTGGCTCGACATTCAATTTCCTCGCCCTCATTGTAGTCATCATCTTGATCCCAGCTGGGACCAACCGCACAGACCGAGACCTGCCTCGATTCACTCCATCCAGCGAGGTTTGGGGAACTATATACGAAGGCACTGCGTTTCCACCTGGCGTATCAGTGCTGATGAGCTTCATCGGTGTAATCTGGACCATGAGCGGATACGACAGTCCCTTTCATCTGGCTGAAGAGTGTTCGAACGCAAGTCTAGCATCACCGCGTGCCATCGTTTTGACTTCAGCAACTGGTGGAATTTTTGGCTGGTTTCTGCAACTTGTAGTCGCCTACACTGTCGTAGATATCGACGCGGTACTGGACTCGGAACTCGGCCAACCGTTCGCTGCATACCTCATGCAGTGCATGACCCAGAAGATGACTCTGGCAATTCTGGCACTGACGATCATTGCTGGCTTCAGCATGGGACAAGGATGCATGATCGCCGCGTCGAGGGTGACTTTTGCATACGCACGTGACGATTGCTTCCCGATGAGCAAATACTGGAGGAGAGTTAACAAGCACACGCAGACGCCGGCGAATGCGGTATGGTTCAACTGCGCTATTGGTATCCTCTTACTACTGCTTATCTTCGGTGGCGAATTGGCCATCGGAGCACTGTTTTCGATTGGTGCCATTGCAGCGTTTGTGTGAGTATCGTCGAGTCCTTGCTTTGCGTTCTGGGAATGCTGACCATCATGCAGTGCATTTACAATTCCCATCTTCATCCGCGTCTTCTTTGTGGGCAACAGGTTCCGTCCTGGTCCATGGAACCTAGGCAAATTTTCGATCCCCATCGGCGTGTTTGCATCGGCATTCGTTGCGCTCATGGTGCCTATCCTCTGTCTACCGAGTGTTGTGGGCGCAGAATTAACGTGAGTTGTCTACCTTCATTTCCATGGTTTCTTGCTGACGCGTGAACAGCGCTGCTGACATGAATTGGACATGCGTCGTATACGGCGGTCCAATGATCATGGTTACGATCTGGTGGTTCGTCTCGGCGCACAAGTGGTTCAAGGGACCAAAGGTCAACATCGAGCACATGATGCTTGGGAGGGGCGAGATTGTCGAGGGTCAAGGGCCTACTATTGACGGAAAGGACCGCGACGACTCGTCGGGGGAGCGGCCGCGATCCGATAAGATGCAGCAACTTAAGGAGTGAGATGGATGAGCTGTACTTTTACGTGTATCTGGACTTGGTTAGAAGCTTCAATTTGTGTGTAGTGGTAGATACCCAAGAGTGGATTAGGGGAAGCAAAGTTTTGTGTAGCGTATACCCTGCAATCGCTTATTGTTACTAAGTCACTCCGGCTGTTGTCGACGACAGCACCATTGCAAACAATGTTGCCCCACCTGCGGCTCACTTCATGGTCTTTGCTCTTAGTAGTTTGACTGCGTATATATATGCGTTGGTTCAATATGTTGTCATCAATCAATACTTGGCATATTGGTCAATGTCTCAATTCGTATAGAGGTTAGTATTTCTGCTTGTCAAACAGCTCGCAGGAGACCTGGGTTCGATTCCCAGATTGAGAGGTTATATTTTTGCTCTTATCGTTGCCCTGTGTGTGTGTTGCGTGAACGAGGTGGGCAGCGGACGATGTGAACTAGATCGGGGGGGAGGGTTTTTTTGCAATATGGCTCGAACATGCTCTTGGGTACATACGAAGTGTCAAGGCTATGCAAATGCCTTGCATAGGGCTTTTCTAGTTGTGTGTACAAGTCTAGATGCCGGCTGACAAAAGTTGAGACGGCCAGCCCAATGCCAGTGGGGTTCTCAGGAGTCCGCTCCCGCGCAACTAAGCAGTGTACTGCTGAATTTATTGTGTATGTTTTCCTAATGCGTGGGCGGGTTTTGTGATATTTGTTGCTAGGGCAACGTCATGGTATACGGGTCGTTGAAATGTGGTGTCTTCTGTTGGCTCGCCTCGGAGCTTTGGTGACCAAACTGCAACACCCGAGATATCTTCTAAACCAAGCTCAGGACTCTTTTCACCCACCAACAATTCTGCTCGTCGCCCAGCTGCAACAGGTTTCTCGGCTACACACATCATAGCCTCGACTCTCTGACTGTGGTAAACTTATTTTTAGCACCCTCGCTCGCAATGGCTACGCAAGGTCGCCAACTCCGTAAGCACCATAACTGCGAAGTCCGCTCAGTGAGCAAACGTTGCCTCAACTGTACACGAGCATACCACAGGGACTCGGCCTAGACCCATGGCGCCCGTGTTGGAGATAGCGCAGTGTCTTGGATGTTCGATTTGGAACGAGGGTCACAGTTGTTTGAAGGTACTCAAACCTTTCGACGACGAGACATTTCAGAGCGTTAGATAATGTTCAGGTTAAGAATGTGGTTAATTTTGCTGTATCCATTTAGCCTGCTTCTCGTGTAGCCAACGGCTTCGCGCCGTCTTGCATGCTGTAGTCGTGTCTAGAAGCCATCAACCATGCACTCCAGGCGCCTCTCCGAAGGAAGATGCGCCACGTATATGTACCATACGAGGCAACTGAGTTCTAGCATACATGGACGGAGCCCGCAAAGCTCAGGTGAATGTACCTGTCACTCTGGTACGCGCTCTACCATAGGCGACACCCATCAACGATGGACGAAGAAGCAGTGCCTCTGCTCAGACGAGCCCAAATCCCACACCTCTTCTCCCTCCGAACAAAGAGCATGTTCACACCACGGACCATAACATCTAAGCTCTTCATCTCAATATGCTTCATCCTCTTCACCTTCCCCGTCCTCTTCTGGCACCGAGACACACTCACAGACCTCTCCGTCCCATACCCACGATCCCCTCGCCTACTACCACAGTTCACTGCTTCAGGCGACACGCCATGCCTCCCACCCATCACCCCCGCGCTCATCGAAGAATCCGTCCACCGACACGCCACATGCCGCAAATTCTCCCCCTTCACGACATCACGCGCCCGCATCGCAACCGTAACAGCACACTTCGGCCCCGCATCAGCACAATACCGCAAAGCCTTCCAAACGCACCTCCTCCACAGCCTCATCCACGGCACAGAAGTCCGAGTAATGTGCGACCCCATCATAGACAGCCTGTGGAACAAACCCGCCTTCATCCTCCAACTGCTCATGCGCGAGATGCTCAAGCCGACAAAGGAGCGCCTCGAATGGATCATGTGGGCCGACCGCGACACCATGATCCTCGATCAGTGTCGTCCCATATCCTCATTCTTACCACCTGAACCGTCCTCGCGCCTAGACGCGTGGTGGCGCGGCACACACGACGTGTCCAACGCAACGGAAGTCAACCTCCTCGTAACAAACGACTTCAACGGCTTGAATAATGGCGTGTTCTTGCTGAAAGTGAACGAATGGGCAATAGCGCTCTTTACATCTATCCTAGCGTTCAGACACTACGAACCTGATGTCGTACTGCCATTCACCGAGCAATCGGCCATGGAACACGTCATCCAGTCCGAAGACTTCAGACACCAGACGCAGGTTGTGCCGCAGCACTGGTTCAATGCGTATGACCACGACGGAGCGGCGATGTACATGTCCAGGGGCAATGAGACAAGAGGGAGTGATGAGAGGGTGCGAAGGGGTGATTTTCTAGTGCATTTTGCGGGGCATCCGGAAAAGGGGAGGGCGATCGAGGAGTATGCGGAGATGCTGGAGGAGTTGGGAGATGTGTGGGAGGAGGGGGTGGTACAGAGGGATGTTAGTGGGGGCGTTGGCGCGTTTTGGAGGGCGTTGGGTTATTGAACGACTGCGAGTCTATACAGGCTTGTGTGAGGCTCGAAGAAAGGACTGACATCTGCTTGATATTGTCTAGTGTTGTTAAAAAGGACTCTCAATCCAACACGCTCTCCCCAGCCTTACTTGCGTCCTTCGCACCCTGTTCTTGCGTCTTTGATGTCGATGCTTTCGCTTTCGCCTTCGCTTTCGGGTCGGTCTTCTTCGTATTCGAGACCTTCTTGTCAGGAATCTTTTTCTTCTCAGCCAACAACTTCTTCTTGTCTACGGCCTTCTTCTTTTCCAACAGTTTCTTGTCCTCGGCTTGTTTCTTCTTCTCTATTTGTCGCTTCTTTTCCGCCAAAGCCAACTTCTCAGCCATTGTTCGCTTCTTAGTGCTGCTCTTCTTGTCGGGGACCTTTTGCTTTCCTGCCGTCTTTGACTTGTCCGTGGCCTTCTTTTCGCCAGGTGCGGGCTCGTCGCTCGTCGATGGTGGTTCTTGTATAGATTCACCCTCGGCCGTCGGTGATTTCTGTGTATCCTCATCCTCAGCCTCCTCACTACTCTCCTCTTCGCTGGATTCCTGTTCCTCGCCCTCCTTGACACTCTCCCCAGTTTTGCTAGGGTCCTTTGCATCTTGCTCTTGTGTCTTGACAGTATCGGTTGTTTTTGTGACTGGCTCATCTACAACGTCTTCCTCCTCTTCACTGCTGTCCTCGTCCTCTTCACTCTCTTCCTCGCCCTCTTCTTCATCTTCTTCCTCCTCACTCTCTTCTCCCTCGCTACTCTCCTCCTCAGGCTGTGTTTTGGAGGATGGGCCAGCGCTGAGAGCTGGATTCGCCGCATCGGTGTGCATCGAGGGAGGAGCATGTACAGGCTTCTGCAGGTTCAAGAGGTTCGGCAGGGCGGGTGAGGACGTGCTTGGAGTCTGCGGCAGAGGGGTCGAGCGCGGTGACAATATGCTAGCATCTGCCTTGGCGGGGCTCTTCGCTGGTGTTGCAGAGGTGGGAGTGTTGGTCTTCTCAGTCAGTAACGGGTTCGTCGTCGAGATCTTCGCTGGCGCCTGCTTCTTGGCTGCAGCGGCCTTTGCAGCTTCGGCGCCCAGCTGGCGGATGGCCAGGTTCTGCGCCGGGTTGGGCTGCACAACATTCTCCTTTTTGGCAGTTGCCGTGGCTGCCGAAGAGACGGGGGCGGCGGCGGATGGCTTCGCAGGCAGGGGCGTGAACGACGATGTGAGCCCGAGTGCTTCTCGGAGCTCGTCGTACTCGTTCCATTCCTCAATCTCGTCGATGCCCTGGCGCCCTGTCAGCAGTGCATACAGGCACTCTATAGGCCGTGCATACCCCAAGCACATAGCCCTCCTTCACGATCAACGGCAGCTTCTTGCCGCTGGCCCTCCGCTGGAACAGCTTCTTGGCCAGCTCATTGGTTGCCGTGTCCACGCCCTTGAACGGCACCTTGTTCGCTTTCAGTATTGTTTCCATGCGCGACGTCGCTGTGATGATGTGCGAGGACCCAGCGGTCAGTGACGTGAAGAGGTAGATGTTGGGATCCGTGTCCCAGACCTTGAGCTCGGCCATGTTCACGGGAAGAGGTGGGGCAGGTTGGGCGAAAGGGAGGATCGCAGGCGCGTGTGGCTAGTAGAAGCGCAGGTGCGAGGGCGAAGAGGAAGGAGCGATGAGAGGGTGCGCGGTTAAAGTGCTGGTGGTGGACAGGCAAGTGCGACTTGTGCAGGCTGGACTGCGTCAAGACGAGGGTCGTGCGACATGCGGGACCCTGCGTATCTACGCGATGCGGGGCGTCATAAAGCTGTGGCCCAGATGCGGCAAGGGCAACCGACAGTCCATCACGACTAAAGAACAAAATCTCTCGGCCTCAATGATAAGCGAAGCGTAGTTGTAACTTAACAGCAACGAGCGACATTAACTATTATACAAAAAACGATTGTCTTCATCGTAGCATTAGTCATGCCAACCACCAGCAAACAACTCATTCATCTGCCATTATGTATTACGCGACAGGTGTTGGGTTGCCCGAGTACTTTCCCGCGAGGACCGTCATCAACGCATCGCTGACCTCAAACTCTTCGAGGACTGCACCAAAGCTACGCCCACTGTTAGTCTCCCATAGCCAAAGCTCACTGACTGCACTCACCCGTAGCATCGAACCTTGGCGAGCAGCTCCGCCTTCATGACCTCGATCTCCTCCCTGGACAGCTCTTTGAAGCTCTCATCCTGGATGATCTTGGCCCACGCCATAATAGGCGTGATCTCCCCATCAAGAGGCAGGCGGTTGCTGAGATCCAGCAGCTTCATTAAATCCGGCATCGTGATATCCGGCATCTGATGCGGATACTTCTCTTGCGGGCAGTTCGCAATGTGCGAGTCCGGTGGCGCCGTCGCCATAAGTGCGTGCCCACTAATCGTCTCCTCGGCATCGTGGGCTCGTACCATGAGGAATTGCATGTGGTCCATGCAGGGGCGCTCGAGGCTGGAAGGACGCGTTCGTCAGAACAAGCTCTCAAAAATAAAGAAACAATAACGTACGGGAGGATCAAAAAGATAAGATAAGAGGATGCAAAGCAAGATGCGAAGAGAAGAATTATTGTTGGGGAGGAGGGGAGAGATAGGGCGTTCGGTCGTACGTTAAAACGAAGTCTATCCCGATCTGGTCATAGTCTAGGCCATTCTGCTGTGGACCAGCCTGGTGGTGTTGGTGTTGCAGATTCATCGGCTGCTGACCCATACTGTCGTGCGAGATGGACCCGCGGTGCTGGAAGCTTGGTGGTGATGTATAGCCGGTCGATGCGGACCCTGGGCCGTATCCT